TTTGATTTAATGATGAATTTGTCGTTGTAACTTTTAAGAATTTTGCTGATGTCATCTTTTTACTTAAAAAAAGTTTCTAAATAGATATTTAAACTTTTGAGATTGTTTTATTTTGGTCTCCAGAGTTTAAAAAGTTTTTATTAGACCAAACAGCTTAGTTCGGTTCAATTGGTTAATACACTTTATATCAATTAAAAGATTGTGAGTTTGAATCTTCACACTACATGTTTAAGGTCGGCTCGTTTTTTGTATTCAATTTTATTTAAAACCCTATACATTTTACAACTATTTTTATTTTTTGTTTATCATTTTTAGAAATTTTTTCTATATAGAAATTCTAGAAATAACAAAATCAAGTTTTTTTATTTCTTCTTCACATTTCCAATCTTTTCCAAAATATAAATAAAAGTATTATCTTATCGTTCCTGACTTATAAACTTATAAAGATTTTTTTTTTTTGTTGAGAAACATGAATATTACCAAAAAAATCCTTCCTAACTCTAATATGAAATTTAAAGATGATTTATAATAATATTATTGTCATTTATGAAATTTAAACGTAATTAAAAAGTCATATTTCAATTGAAATTTAAGGATGACGCGGGTTGTTGTATTGTAGCCTTAGCCCACTTGGAGAAGAGCTCAAACCCGTGTATCATGGGCCTCGTTACTACCATTATTCAAGGCCCATTTTAAATTATAGTTTGTCCTCTCTCTCTCTTCTTTTACTCGCGCTATTCAAAACATATATACTTATTTTTCGTTAAAATACTATTTTGTCACTTGCTTCTGGTTCATTTTGATTCGCTGCGTTCAAAACTTTTTTTTTAGCTGTACTTTCAAAAAGTCTATTATAAAGGTGCATCGATCTTTGTCGAATCTCCTTTTCAGATTAGATGTCTTGTTTGATTTTCTTGAGATCTTATACCATATCAAGATTTATAGGGTTCATCTAAAAATCAATGGGCTACCCATGTCTATTATAAACCTGGTTTATCTTTTTGATGTAGATCCTTAACACTGTGGATGGAAGAAAATCCTTAAGAACAAATAATAGTGTGCATCTCTCGATACTAACCTAAAATGTGGGGATTCAACAAAACCAACCTGGTCCACTTATTCCTCGTCACAAAGTCTATTAATGATAAATTAACAGTACGGAAATGAACTCTTTTTAAAACTACAGGGACTAAAAAAGACGTTTCAACGTACATGGACCAAAACGAATCAAAGACCAAAATAGTATTTTAATTTTTTTTAATTTTTCCGTAAAATATAACAAAATCATGTTTACAAACAAATCAATTTTATTTTATGAAACTCTGAAATGTTTGCTAGCATTATCCAACTGTTGTTTTTTTACTTATCCAAATGTAAATGATATATGTTAATTACCGCTTTCGCTTTAAAAACATTATTCAATTGGTTAAAGACATATATCATTGATTAGAAGATCAAAAGTTCAAATCGGTATCCTACGTATTTTTTAACTTAAAAAAAAACTGCAAAATGTAAGTCATTTTGGTTGATACATTGTTAATTAGTCACCCATTAATAAATAAAGAAGTGTCATATTTGTAAATTAGTATAAAAGGGCACCATTAGCTTAAAGGGCGAGGGCAAGACTGTCTTCATCAACTGATTTATTTTTTTCCCGTCTTATTGTCTTTCATTTTCTCCATTCTACAGGTTTCAATTTTTGTAGCTTACCTTTCAAATGGATATGAAAATTGAGGAAAAAATATTCTCCACTTGGGTTAGCACAAATAGATCCAGACGGCATAAGTAGATCATATCTTCTAATATATATATAAAAAAAATATTATAAAATGCAAAAGCTATATTATTTAGAAGGAGATCCGATCTGAAATTTGTTACGACAAAAGTCAAATCTATCCAGCTCGACCTAAATCAGGTAGTTCTCAAATCTGACTCTCTTATGACCATCAAGATGATTTATGGAGAAGTTGAAAACATGGTAGTTGAATCAAGGATACTCTGGTACTTAGGAAGTTTCTTTTGCAATATTTTAAGAAGAGCCAATTTCACAGCACATAGTTTAGCCTGTGAAGCTATTTCTTAAAAAATGAACCTGAGCTAGTTCTCTCATTTTTACCCTTCATTTCTGGAAGAGGCAAAAAAGACTTTTTTTACATGCAGCTCATGTGACATCTTTTTTTCTCTTTTCTTTTTCTTTTTTTTAAATGAAGTTCTTCTATTTCAAAAAAAAAAATAATGCCACTTGGGATAAGGTTAATTAAGAGCGATTGGGTTCAAACCCCGTGATGGCCACCTATCTTAGGAATTAGTCTAATTCCTATGTGTTTTCTGGCATCAAATGTTGTAGGGTTAGACTGATGGCACGTGAAATTAGTCGAGATGCTAAGCTGGCCCGGACACTCAGGGATATAAAAAAATTAATAATAATAATAGTATCGATACCACTTGCAAAGAGGTAGATGTGTGTTGTCCAATGTTTTAAATGTCGATCTTGATGTAAATGTCAAGGTTTCAATTTTATGAAAATGTCGATGAAAATATAAATGTCAATAGATATTTCTGAAAAATTTACAAAAATAAAAATTCACAAAAACTATCTAAGTTAACAATGATGTATTTTATCATTTCTAAATAAGTTAAAAATGAGAGATATTAATATTATGTTTATATTACTTAGATTTTGTTGATATTGTCATATTTTGTTGATTCTTTTTCATCATGTAAATGTCAATTTATCATCCGAGTCGATATCGAATTCACTGATATATGAAAATGTGAGACACGTTGACCGAATATTAAATGGATGTTGCCGCGTTTGTATAAAAATAACTCGCAAAATATCTAGTTGAATTGAACAACTACGTGCTTTAAATACTCTGCTCATCCGATGCACGACTTCAAGATTTGATACGATGCCGTATCAAACAGATGGGATATTCCCATACAGAGCATGTGTTGATTATTGAACATACTTTTATTTTATATATTTTTGCTCTGGCTGTTTTTTTTTTCCCTTTTTGAATGAGAAAATTTGGCACGCATCGGGACTGAGGGATGAATATAATGGAGGACAAAAATGGAAATTAAAAGTGTGCTCGATGCCGATCACCAAAATATTACTGGACTGATTTGATCGTTTATTTTCGATTAAAAAGTCGTGGTTCAAATCATAAGGATCTAACGTTGAAAAGAGGGTAAACCTAACTAGAATATAGATATTTATTGTATTAAATTTATGAATATATAGAAATGTCAATTTGTGAACGAAAAATTCATAATTTTTTTTAAAAATATAACATCATTTTGATTTTTTTAATACAACAAACAAAATAACTCCCAGCATCCATGGGATTTGTTCAGTTAATCTTGCTTTTGACACGTGAACTAGTTCTTTATTTTTTTTTCTCTTTTCATTTATTCCTTATAATAAATAAATAAATAAATTATAAAATCAGATTAATTTGATGAGAAATTGGAAGTTGTGGAGAGGTCCAGCCCAGTGCAACCTTATCTTTTTCTCTGGAACAGAGAAAACCGAAACAAAGAGAACTCGAAACTGTTAGAGAGAGAAATAAAGAGGAGAGAGAGAGAGAGAGATGGATTTTACAGAGAAGGAAGAATTATTGGTTAAAGAATCGTGGGAAGTTTTGAAGAAGGATTTGCCTCTCTACAGCCTTCGTTTCTTCACTCAGTAAGTTTTTAGCTTTTTTTTTTTGTTGGTTGAAATAATATAATAAATGGTGTTAATTTAATTTTGTTGTTACTGAAATGGAATAATGAAATTAATTAAGGATACTGGAGATAGCTCCAGCAGCGAAGGGGATGTTTTCTTTCTTAAGGGATTCAGAAGAGATTCCTCACAACAACCCTAAGCTCAAGGCTCATGCTCTCAAGGTTTTCAAGATGGTCAGTTTTTCTTTTCTATTTTTTTTTTTCCAAAATCAATTTTTTTTTTCATTTTTAATACAACTGTGTCCGGACAAGAATTTAAACTCACGACTTTTTAGCGTGAGATTGATATATTCACTGATTGAACTATGCTCGGTTTGGTTTGATTAAAAAAAAATAGTATGAAAGTTATGGTTCTTTTCATACTAAAATTGAATCTGCTTTCTTTTAACATCACTTTAAAAAAAATGCACAAATTAACATCTCTTTTGGCCTGCTTATTTATAATGACAATGAAGTTCAATATTCAAAATGTCAAAACAGTGTTAAATATAGATAGCTCTAAATATGAAACATGTGATACATTTTACTTATTTAATTTTGTTTTAGAATACAACATTGCATGGTAGGTTTGAAGATTTCATTTTTTTTTGACATATAAAGATTTAACTGTTGAGTTAAGTTTAGATTAGGAGGATATTTTGAGTCTTATTATATTTGAGTTATGGCCTGCTAGATTTTAGCTATTAAATGTTCATGCCTTTTCTACTATACTTTAGGATAGTTGTAAGTTACTATACAAGAGGTTGAATTTCGTAATTTAATTCATATGAATTGATCGTAGATTCAATTTGGGTCCTATGATTTCAAAAGTTTCAATCTAACGGGTTTTATAGTCTAATATTAGTTTCAATTTGGCACTTATAATTTTAAAAGTTTCAATTTTGGTCTCTATAGTTTAGTGAATTTGAATCGGAAAGTTGTATACATGAACTCAATCCATTAATAACATGTTATGATAATTAAAATCATAGTTATGCACATGAAATATTCCAAGTTTCCTCTATAAAAATCTCAAAATTTTCGTAGGAGATTATATTGTTAATGTGGAACTAATACAAGAAAATGAACACTGTGATTGTGAAGACATGTGAATCAGCCATTCAACTGCGAGAGAAGGGGGAGGTGGTGGTCTCTGAGACTACCCTCAACTATTTGGGCTCTGTCCATCTTCAGAATGGAGTCATTGCTCCCCATTTCGAGGTAACTTAGTCCTTGATTTTTTAAAATTTTCAATTAAACCTTGCTAATAAAATGTATTATTAAATTATTGTTTTAATTACATACTCAGAATCTTTATATAGACATGTAGGATTTGTGGATCAGATTTTGCTGGTAGAAGAATTGAGTTTTATGGATTAGATAGCATTTAAGTGATATTCTCACATCTCTAAATATGCTAATAAATAATGATCTAATGATACATCACATTTTTCGTAAACTAATATCTTGAGAAACTTTGTATAGAAGAACCTAATTGAGAATTTTTAATTTTGAATACATAAAAGGTAAGGTTGAGAATTTTAAAAGATTAAAGATCGAATAGAGAATTAAGTAAAAGATTAGTGCGTAAACGAATGATTTAAAGTGGTGATTGGATTTGATGCCAACTCAGGTGGTGAAAGAAGCATTGCTACGAACAGTGAAAGAAGCAGTGGGAGAGAAATGGAGCGACGAAGTGGACAGTGCCTGGGGAAAGGCCTACGACCAATTGGCTTCAGCAATCAAAGCTGAAATGAAATAAAAAGATTAAAAATTCCATTTAATTGGTGATCAAATTCATTCAAAATTTGGCTGATTTGTTATTTATGGTCCAGAAATTGAAGAAAACAACAGTGCATAAGATTTATGATGGTAATAAATTGTTATTACAAATGAAGTTGCTTCTCTTCCAACTTCAAATGCTCAGATTTTGCAGTTTTAAAAGTCATTACAAACCTAGCCTCATCTCATGAATTATACTTGAATCAAGCCTATGATGAAAACTAATGTCAGAGATTAGAAACGAAAAGAATCTTCAGAATTACATTTTTTTTCCTTTTTATTTACGTAAAAAATGATGAATCGACCATGCAATTTGTCATTCCAATTATACAACGCAAGATAATGTTCCAGATAATCAGAACAACACAGCGGCGCCTACTGAACACTACAACTCACAGCTCCCCATCTGTGTTATGAAAATAAAAGGACTTACCCTCCCATCGGATTCAAGGAGTTGCACGCTACTGAAATTACTCGTTCCGCATTTTCCCTCCTTTCTTCTACAGTATCGAGTATGCGCGGATCACTTCGACAATCGGTGCTCGACACAGTGGGCACTTGCCACCACCACGGACCAACTCGTTTGCGCATTTTGAACAAGTGCACATATGTCCGCATCTGCAGTAAGATTTTCATTTTACAGTTGGTGTCTTACTCTATTCCGATTTTCAAAGAGATTACAGTTAGGAGATATACCTGTATAGGAGAGAGTCGATATGGCTGTCGCAACAAACGCAACACGTTCCCTTCCTCACATGACACCATTTGGAACCATCCTCTGACGTCTCGGCGCCTAAACCTATATCGAGAGGCAATTCGTGATGGACATAACAGAATAGCTCTAAGGGAATTCTCCTCAACATATGGGAGTAGCAACACCATTGCATTAAAATGTAAAACTGACCTTTTTCACCGGCAGATCTGTTCAATGCTGCAGAAACTTCTTGTCTGACAGAACGCTGCAACTCCAGTTGCATGTCCATACAAGCCTCCAACATCCTCTGCATGTGATTCATGCCTTGTTGAAGTCTTGCCATGTCTGCTCTCAGATCGTTAACGATCTCCCATTCCTGCTAAAATCAGCAACGGCTCTAAGCAAAAACCCTCTCTAGCCAGACAAACTATAATCCGAAATAAACAGCTCCAAGGCAGGAATGATGAACAAACAAATATCAAATTATTCCACATATTGGTAGAACGCTACTTCCCGGATAAAGATAAAATGCAGTCCAAGCATAACTCAAATAGATAAAGACAACACCTATTGCCATCCTAAAAGTTGATGGTTTGATCTCCACCAACTTAAAATATGAGATTTGATTGGTGGTTTGGTTTTAAATATTCTCTTGTGCATGTTCTGCTTAGCTCACTTGAAGCACCAGTCAAATAAAGTCTGAACTATTTCTTCATATAGCAAGAATGTGAAGGTAGTTTTTTCTACAGGTTTCCAGAGTTATTGAATAAAAGAATTCCCTCCCCCATAACAAACGGAGTCATGTTAAGCCTTCTTTATAGGCATTTTAAATCCAGAATAAAAATTAAAAAAGGAAAAAAAAAAGAAGAAGAAGAAGATTTGAAGCTTACCATTTCTGAACGATGCATGGTATGACGAGACCAGCTGGTATGATGCAGGTCATGGTGCCAAAGTGGCTGAGGTGGAGGAACTGGTGGAGATGGAAGCACCAGAGAGGGTCTATTGACTGCATCATTTTGTTCATCTCTCTGTTGGTCCTGATCCTGAGGTGGAGAAGCAGTAGTTGGTGAAGGCAAAGTTCTATGCAAATCCCAATCTATGGGAGCACGACCTTGCCTCTCCACATATGATTGTATTAATTGGTCCAGACTTTCACGGAAACCGCTACGAAGAAGGTTAGAAACACTTCTCCTGCAAAACGGATACAAAACAGTCTGTAAATAAACCTATGCCAGCCAATGTGAATAATACCAATACTAATAGAATGATAATTACCTGCTTAAGAGTTCTCTAACTTCCATGCTATAGACATTTTCGTCGTCAGGTGGGTGAAACCTATTGAACCGTCTAACTGGAACCGACCGACGACTTCTAAAAGGAGCAGAGGGCCCCTCCGACCAATTCCCAGCAGGTTCTCGAGTGCCTCTCTCATGCCAAACTCTGGCAGGTTCTGCTGGATGCACTTCTCTTCTTTCCGCGTTTCCCTGAGTACTGGGTGGCGACCAATCATTAGCTGAATTTGCCTGCCAATTTCCAGTCACATCCTCGGCATTATCGTCTCTCCACTCACTGAGTGGGCCAAAGGTTGTCTGTTGCCAGTTTCTTCTACCATCTTCAGTAATTTGTTCGCGCCAGCCCCCTTCTTGATTTGTAGTTTCTTGCCAATTCATATTCTCTACCTCTGAGTTGCTTTCCATGTTTTCAATTTGATCGGGCAACCGATTGGTTTCAGCTACCTGACTCTCAGGCTGTGACTGCACGTATTCTTGCTGGATGTTCTGTGAACCATTTGTTTGAACCCTATCATTTCTAGATTCATTCATGTCACTGCTAGTTGCAGTATCAGATTGGCTTCCTGCTTGACCACGGACAATATTTTCCAATCTAAAGCGGAATCCCTCCCTGGGAAGTAAAATGTACATATAAACTAAACCATTATCAAATAATAATACTTCTTTACAGACTCTGTACAAATCAGAAATCAGAAAACACAAATCTAGGAAGTTCCTTTTGAGATGATTCAAGGCTCACTGGACTTCCAGCAAAACACCCGAGATTAAAAATATATTACTAGACACAGAAATATGAAGATGCTTAGAATGCCCAAAAATACCTTTATTCGTAAAACATACACGTCACAAAAAGAAAAGATTGAACCATCTTCACGAGACAACATACCTTAAACCAGAAACAGTGTGTCGCTGCTGTAACTGAACCAATTCACTTGCTGCCATAGAAGGTGGCCTCTCCTCTTCAACAGTCCTTTCATTTCTCAAAAATCTACCTCTAAGTAATGACTGGGGAAATATACAGGATTAGTGGTCATATAATAGCTATGAGTGCAAATAACATCTAACGGACCAATAACATGTGGAAGAGATAATATAAGGTAAACATTACTAAAAATTGTCATTAAGACTGAGACATAATTATAAATAATCCTATAGAAAAATGTTTCAAAAATCACTTTCTGCCATTTGGGGTCGCTCTTAACTCTTAAAGAGCATCACCTGTAAAAGAAGCAGGATGCAGAATATATTTTAACAGGCGAACTCTAGAAGGAAAAACTCATAAATGCAAAGTTTTCAAATAAAGTCCGACCTAGTCCTTAGCCTTTGCCAGAATCCAATCAGTTTTAATTTGAACCAAAAGTGAACTCAGACATAGAAAGGATATATAAAACAACATTCACACTTGGCAGCTGACCTGGATGCGGTTGCGATGAGCAAAATCAGAAACAGCACGATACTCCAAAAGGCCTTGAAGTTCCCTCTGTCGTTCCCTCTCTATCCTTACAAGTAAATCAAGAACTGCTTGTCTTCCTCGCAACCTTAACAAGTCTCTGCGGATGTGTTCATTTTGGCCTTCATCCTGGTCAGCAACCAATTCATCACGGCCTCTGTCAACTTGAGCACCAAGTCCGGTCCCTCGATCTTCTCTCCTGTCACCACCACGACTTCCTCTTTGTTGGCTGGTCATTTGTACCCATTCTCTAACAATCCTAACTCTCTCTCGTTCTGTTTCCCCAAGCCATTCAGCTCTGGATCTTGTGGTTCTCTCAGAAACGTTAGGTGAAGGATCAGTAATTCCAGTCTCCATCCATCCCCGTACAATTTGCCTCACTCTCTCCCTCTCAACTTCGCCAAGATCAGGAGATTGCTCTCTGCTAGAACCATTATTTTCATCCCTCACACGCTGTGATGCAATTTGATCGTGATTCCACGCCCCATAATCATTCTCACTCTCACTTGCATCCACCAAACTTCCCTGATTCTCACTCCCTCGACTATCAGACATATTTGTACTTGACATATTGGTAGAAGAATCAACACTTGTTTGCTGCCTCAATCTTTCCCTCACCCTCTCACGAGCCCGATTTAACATATGGTCATCCTCCAGCTCCCTCCACATCTGTAATATTGCAGAAGCTTGTGTACTCGGAGTCTCAGCGGCAGTCTGCTGCCTTGAAGTTGGAGAATGGGACTCCCCCCTTAAGAAAGACGAATCAAGCATTGAAACGGTGTGCAATCTTGCAAGTGCCATCAACTCAGATTCACGATTTCTCCTCTCAATTGTTGTTATCATTTCCTGTGCCTGCCGAGCAGCCCAGCGGCTCAAAATCCGAGAGTGGCGTCGGCGTGCAGCTGAAGACTCTGCCAAATCATCACCCTCAAGATCAGACCGCCGTCTCCTCCGTAGAAGCTGATCACCTTCCTCATCCTCGACTTCTTGATTGGCAGCAGAACTACATGAAGCAAATGGAATACATTCATCCAGGTGCCCACGCATTAACTCCTCAAGTCCACGCTCTAATTCCGCTCGGGCATCACTAGAATCAGGCTTCTGTTGTAGCGGTTGATAATCCGTCATCCTCTGCAATCTCTTACCCTACTGCCGGAAACGACACCCCAAACGAAACCCTCGACATTCTATCAATAATAATAATACCATTAATCCTTATCCCTTCCCCCGAGAACAAATAAAATCACGCCGTTGAATTACTCCATAACACAAACCAGACCCTAACAATATCTCCGAACCCAATAGAGGTATAACAACTACACAATCGGATTGAGACCCAACGGGCTCCACAACATACCACCTGACAAAAACAGAATCCGAATAATCAAATCGTCAAAACTGACAATGGAAAAGAAGATCCGACGAGAACATTGGACACCCAATGGCTAAATTAGATTAGTTTGAAATCGTGAACTGTCGGATGCAAAGAAACCAATGGAGGACGAAGACGGCGGGATCAAAACAAGAAATCAAGGCTAAAAAAGAGTATGAAGGATGGGATTCACGGGTAATTACGTACCTCTGAAGCTCTTTGCGCGTTTATTCCTGACCAAGTATGAGAAACAAAACCCTAAATTTCCCCCCTCAAAGAACGAGAAACTGAAAATGGCGAGAGAATTATACAGAGAAGTTGAACAAGGAG